TATATATATATATATATATATATATATATATATATATATATATATATATAGGTGTGTGTGCATGTGTGTTTGCTTTTGTATTATCGCCTTGGATTTGTTTATATTCTTCTTTGTTGTTTCTTCATCACCCCCGTCCTGCCTTCTTTATTCGGCTGCCGGTTGGCGTAGCTGGGGCAGGTGTCCTTGTTTCTTGCTTTTGCCGATTTTTTTTTCCGTTTGCTTCCCAGGCTTCTCTTCTCCCTTTTGTTGTTGGTGGTGTATTTTATTTTATGTTCAGGTTTTGTTGCCAGCGTCCTGGTTTGCTTACGGAGCACAACTCTCTGCATTGTTGCCTCCACGGGCACGGGATCAGCTTTGTGTTGTTGTTTTTTTTGTGGGTCCTCTCAGCAAGTATATCGGTGCATCCACGTGGGTGCGTGAGTAGGTATCATGTCAAAACTGTACAAGGCGCAGACGCAGCAGGGCCACTCGCGGGGTTTCTTTGAGTACATTCGCAGCGTGGGGGAGTCCAAGTCCAAACAAGAGGAGGACAAGATCGTCCTGCGTGACCTTGCTGACCTTAAAAAGACTCTGTCATCAAGTAACATTGACAAGCGACTGCTGAAGGAGTATGTTGTGCGCACCTTTTATGCAGAGATGTTGGGCGTGTCTGCGGAGTTTGCCCACATCCATTGCGTGAATCTGTCCTCAAGCCCTGACCTCCTTTTTAAGCGGACCGGTTATCTCGGCACGTGGCTGACGGTGGGGCCCGAGCACGAGCTTATGTATCTCATTGTATCCAATCTGCGGCGTGACATGAAATCCCGCGCCTTTCTTGACATCGCAGCCGCACTAACGGCAGCCTCGAAGTTGGTGCGCCCTGAATTGATGAGTGCCATCAACACTGAGGTAGTGGGGCTGCTGAGTCACCCCAACGCACTGGTGCGAAAAAAGGCAGTATTTGCAATGCAGGCCTTCTACAGAAAGTCCGAGGGCGTTATTGGAGATATAAACCTCTTTCGTCAGGCATTATGCGATCGTGACCCATCCGTCATGGGGGCGGCACTTCGTCTTTTTGCGGACGTCATTTACGCCGACCCGACCTCGCAACGTGATCTTATTCCAACCTTCTTGTCTATTCTTCAACAGATTGGCGAACGCCGGCTGCCTCGGGAGTACGACTATCATCGCATTCCCGCTCCATGGTTTCAGACGAAAATTTTGCAGATACTTGCAATGCTTATTGGTGACAACTTATCCCTTGCTTATAAGTGTGAAAAGGCGTTGGCAGAAGTTATAACACGAGCTGACAATGAACTTAATATTGGCTATGCCGTAATGTGTGAAGCCATTCGTGTTATTACTTGCATTCCCACCATTCCAGCTCTTGTGGAGCTTGCGGCAGAGGCCATTGCAAAATTTCTTTCCAGAAAGAACGCTAATCTGCGCTATGTAGGTATTCAGGCGCTTGCACAAATTGTCCGAGTTGACCCAAAATACGCTCGTGAGCATCAGCAGGTTGTTATGGCGTGCCTCGAAGATGTTGATGATACAATACGTCGAAAAACCATGATGCTGCTCCTCGCAATGTGTAATGAGGACAACGTAGACACCATTATAACACGACTTGTGAGGTCGCTCTCGCAGACAACAGACGAGTATGTTAAGCAAGACTTCACACGCCGCATATGCGATGCGGTGGATCGATTTAGTCTCGAGGCGGTGTGGTACATTGAGACAATGAATAAAGTACTACTGTGTGCCGCCGAGCACGTTCCTCAGACCACCATTCAGGGAATTTTGAAACTTGTTGTGGAAGGTGAGGGTGACGATGGGATAAAGGATGCCGCATTTCGTACATTTTGTGTTGAAACCTACTTTAACCTTCTTGAGGGATCACAGAAGAAGTTACCGGAGGCCGTCTGTCGCATTGCCGCATGGGTGATGGGCGAGTATGGGTTTCTAACAAAGCGAATAAGCCGCACCATGTTATTGGATCGACTTTGCGATATGTTAGAAAGGGCCGAGAGTGCTGACACACGGGGATGGATCATTATGGCCATGATGAAAATTGTAGCTAACACCGGTGTCATGCCTGATAACGTTGAGGATCTTATTACACGTTTTAAGGACAGTCGCAGCGTGGCGATACAGCAACGGTGCTACGAATTCAGTGAGCTTGTGAAAGTTCCAGTGCTTATGAAGAAGTTACTGCCGCTGGACGGCTGCTGCGAAGAAATTGATGTGGATGAGTCCATGGGGTTTCTCGATGGCATTGTGCAGGAGGCCTTGTTGGCCGGCGCCAAGCCATACGAAAAGCGGACAGTACGCCTCGGAGTCAAGGAGGAGGAAGTACTCCATACTGACGCCTACAAGGATTTGCGCACAGATGTCGTGGATGAGATTGAGCTCGATCTGGGGAACCTCAAGATGGAGGAGCCGCACAAACTTGTCATTCAGTCAACTGTAAAGCGCTGGGGGCTAAAAAATCTTGAGGAGGACGCCATGTCGCTGGAGGAGCACCCAGCTGGGAGCCCCAAGGTGTCAGCAGCAGTTGCATCTGTGGATAATTTTCCTGACGGAACTATTCTGCATCACGTGGATCCGTTTGCACAGTCGCCATCGCCGTCATCATCGCAGTCCCCGCTTCCAACACGTGAAAGCTTGAAGACAAGCAAAAATGAAAAGTTTTTAAATGACATTTTTAGCGGTGGCGCAAAAAAGAAATTAGCTGTGCGGCGTCAGAAAGAGTTGGTGGAGCCCATGATGCACGCTGCGAACTCTTCTGAAGTTCATACTGCTGGCCCCATACTTTCCATTTATATAGGGTACATAAGAGAGTCGGAGGCAACAGGAGTTCTGCTGCGAATTACCGCGAAAGCGGAAGTGGAGAATGCTATAATTTCCATGAAGGCTCCCACAAACTGCGCGCTTCGCACGATATCATGCCCTGCGGCATCCACAATGGATGGAACGACAATTTCGTTAGCCCAATTGGCGGCAGGTCAACCAGTTGAATTAGAAATGCAACTTGTGCCTGTTGGATTTCCGAGGGAGGGTTGTGTACGCGTAGATGTCACGTATCATAGTGCCGTTTCAGGCTACCCGCAATGTGTCTCGGCGTCAAGAGAGTTAGATGCGAAGGACATCCTTCGTCCACCAGCGCCGATGACAACACCGGAGTTTGGGAAGATGTGGGTGGGTCTCAGCGAGGAGTGTAAGGTGCAGATGTGTTCTGTCATTCCTTTGACACCGCAATCGCTGCAACAACTGCTGATGGAGCGAGCATCGCTGCGTGTGGTGGAGGTGATCCGCAGTGAAATCATTGCAGCAGCCGAGGTGGTCAGCACACGGAAGTCACTCTTGTGCCACGTTGATGTTGTGGCTTCCAACACTGCCAATGTGACAGTGCGGGCAGACGACAAGGACTTCGCAGCTTACGTGGCGCACGCCATATCCTCCTCATAGCACTGCGGCAACTCTCACTTCATTATCTCTCTCCTGGGGAGAAGTCGAGCGAGTTGTAATATCTCTCCATCCGGGGACGCGGAAACAGTCTGAGGGGTAGTGCGATAGTGGAACTCTTGCTACATATATAGTCACAGTGGTGTAAAGGCTATGGAAAAACAATAACCGGAATTTTACTATGTGTAACACTGTATATTATGTGTCAACAACCTTCTCTTTGTTGTTGTTGTTTTCTCACTCAATGTGTGCGTGTGTGTGTGTGTGAATGTAACTAAAAGGTGGAGTTGCATGTGTGCGTTCACACCCATTATTGTATGTGTTTGGAAATAATATCGTCCATGAGGCAACAACAAAGCTGAAAGAGAATGTTATTGATTGCGATACGCATGATATTTTTTTTAAAATGTGTAATTCTCTGCTTGTTGTGACGTTTCTATATGTGTCCATGGGTGCTCGCCAGTCGCATTTTTATTGGTTGCAATTTTACTTACGTTGTTTATCCTTATGGTGTTGTGGGAAGTAAGGAGCCCACGCAATATTTGGACGACGGCATCTGCTTGTGTCGCTGCAGCTCATAGGTGCAAGGAACAAGGAAAAAGTCTTTTGTTGTTGTTGTTGTTTTCCTTTACTGTTATATTGGTCCTCTCAGTGCATGCAGGCTGGGCCGGAGTCCAATGTGTGACTTAATATACACTTATTTGTAAACATACATATGTGCATGCCCTTACACGCCTTTCCTGAGCAACTCTTTTTTGTTGTGAGTAATGGTGTGCTTTTCTTGCGTAAGCTGTTTGTTTTCTTATATAAGAAAACGAAAAGTGAGTGTAGTTGCTTTTATAGTAGGGCTTGCCGGTTAGTTACTCTCTGGTGGTACTGATTGCCATGACGGTGTCATTAGGCATAGCGCTTGTCCCGGATGAAGTGTTGCAGAGTATTGATGATGACACAGCTGTGTACTGCGCTTCAGATGAAATGGCATCCTTGGATCTAACCCGTGAATTGTTGGCAACGCTACAAAAGGCAACGAGTGATGGGACACTAGAATCGCAGCTCTCGTGCGTCGGTAGCTCGGGTCTTTCCGGCAGATCCCCCACCGCTGTGGAAGTTGTGCAGAACTGCTGTTGTAGGTGGTGGGAATGCCGGGCAGAGGTGGAGGAGGCGTTTCTGCAGCTGTACTATACTATTCATACAGTTACGGTGGTGATGGCACCAGAAAATGGTGCCGCACCAATCCTTAACTTTCTCGCAGACCTGTTTGCTGGCGTTCCAGGCACAGTGGGTGTGGAACGTTTGGCGGAGGCGCTGCAGGTGGATAAGAGTTGGCTGGCTTTCGCTAACGTACCTGGGCTGCCGTCGACACAATTGCAAAAGGAAGAGGCGAAGCAGCTCCCCCTGGGCATTTCGCTTCTGAAGCAGATCCTTGACTCGTTTTGCGTCGTGACAGACGAGAAGTTGCCCGCTTACCTCTACTGCACGCTTCAGCCACTGTTTTGTGAGATGAAGCCCTGTTGGTTGCTCAATGGGTTTTTTGCTGACACGCCGCTTCGGCTTGTGGGAACAGAGGAAGCGCTGAAACGTGCGAAGAATCGACTCGAATTGCATGCGTCATCGCTGCGCTTTCTACTTAAGTTGGCGGAAGAGGATTCTGACTGCAGCGACTCTGCAACAGCGTTGGAGCAGAAAAAACAACTGGAAGAAATGTTATTATGTGTGACAGCCATGCAATCTGCATTTACAGAAAGTTGGATCTGTGAGCAAGTTTCCAGCGGATGGCCACGTGTCGTGGAGGATGTGCGAAAAATTATTTCCAGCGCTGACAAGACGGTTTTGGGTGGTTTGCCGGAGGAAATTATGGCGGCCTTTGATGCATTGCTCCAGTTATCACCCCATCGTGTCATGGATCACATTGTGCACTGCTTCCTGCTGCCGCTGTCATCAGGGTTACTCGACAATGGTGTGGGGGGGACGAAGCTGGATGATGATGCGCCAACAGTCGCTGCAGCAGTTGGTGCCTCCTTTGACGGTATGTCGCTTGAGGAGGTGGAGTACCTGCTGCAGCCATCTGACCCGGATGAGACATCAACAATAGAGACTGATGGTGATACAGTTTCGGCACGAATATACTTGCACTTTTATCGTACCTTTAAAATGTTGATGCGGGCGTGCGGTGTTCAAAAAGCTCAAGTGGTGGTGATGCTGTGGCCGTTCTTCGATCTGCAGACATCCCCTTTTCTTCGTACTGTGCCCCCTGCACGGTTAGAAACGATGCTGCGGTGTCATAGTTACGCCCTCTTTGACGCGTTGGAGGGGGCACCATGTGGAACTACGGCGGCACTGTTACTAGGCGGCGGTTGGGTGCGTACGGCAAGAGATCACTTTGCGCAATGGCTCTCAGAGAGAGACGGTAAGAAAGGGCAGTTTCCCACAGTTATCTTTAAACAGCTTTGGAAGGAAGGCGATAACGGTAAAGCAACGACCAGCGCTCAGCAGGCGTTGTGCATTCCTCTGCTCCGGCGCATTGTTACTGGATGCTGCGGCACTTTGGTGAATACAAAAGTGGCGGTTCTTGTCCCAGCTGGGGGCGCAACTGTTCTTTCCCGGCGATATAGTGTGTTTCCGCTGATGCGGCATGTGAGATGTGCCAGGGAAAAAGGAACTTTTGACGAACCACTGGGCGATGGAATTCACAAGCTCCACCGTAAGATGATTGAGGCGACAAGTCGCCCTTTGCTTGCGGCACTGCTACAAGGCACTCTGATGCCAGTGCTTTCGTACTCTGCCTGTGGTCCTGTTCCGATTTCGTTCGTGTCTGACGGTGTGGACGGCGGTCGCACATGTTAGGAGTCGAAGATATCGGAATAGCATCTAGTAGGGTTAGGTAAACTTGTATGTTCCTTTCTTGCCTTTATTTATGAGTAAGAGTGCACAGCAACATTGAGCGTGAATGGAACAGTAGGGACAGTAATAAATGCTGGGGAGTCAAGGGTAGGGACGTGTTTTTGTTTTTTGCTTTTTAAGCTTGACTTCTCTCACACGACATTAGGAGTCGCTGCGCATATATATATATATATATATATATATTTGTCTGCGTCGTATTTTCTCTCCGTCGCTTTGTAACCACCCACTCACAGTTAGAGGTGCTCGACCGCAATGCCGGCAGGTCCCAATGGTAGCCCGGAAGATAATGACGGCGGAGGGACTGGTGTGGAGGAGGCGGGAGGGTTGCCCACAAAGATGACACGAAAACAGAGACAGGAAGAGCGACCCTTTGTCTTTGCAAACTACCCGTCGCGGAAGGTAGCCATTCGTCTGGCGTATCACGGCCACCTGTACGATGGATTAGCAAAACAGGAAGAAACATCCAACACAGTAGAAGCGTATGTGGTGGCGGCGCTTAGGCGCGTGCGACTCATTCCTCAGGATGGACCGAGTGACCTTGCGCGGTGTGGGCGAACAGATAAGGGCGTTAGTGCGCTGGGTAACGCCTTCTCACTTACGGTTCGAGCGTCCTCATGGCCCACCGACTCTTCTCAGAAGCCACCACTTGATTATTGCGCCATGGTAAACAGTGCGCTACCTGTCACTATTCGAGTTGTTGGCTGGGCTTATGTGGATGATAGCTTTGATGCCCGTTTCTCATGTGTGGGCCGAACATACCGCTATTACTTTTGTCATCGGGGCCTTAATCTGGAGGCGATGGCGAACGCCGCAGCACGACTTAAAGGAAGGCATAACTTTCGCAATTTTTGTAAGACAGATGTTGTGAACGTGAGCAACTATGAACGTGATGTGCGTAGTGTGGGTATTGTTACTAGCGAAACGTTGCCGGAGTTGGTGTCATATTTTGAGATTCATGCAAACTCATTTCTTTACCATCAGATTCGCTGCACCATGGAGGTTCTCTTTCTTGTTGGACGCGGATTAGAGGAGCCGGAGGTGGTCACTCAGCTCCTTGAACGTGGAGACCGTAAACCCCTCTATCCACTGGCGGATGGTAGGCCGCTTGTGTTGTGGGACTGTCACTTTGAAGGTTTGCGGTGGAGTATTTCACAGCGCGCATTTATGGTCATTGAGCAGGAGTTACAGGACATTGCAACGGCGTTGTTGCTTCGGGCATCTGTGGCGGACTCCATGCGCTCGCAGTTGTTTACCTGGTACAGCGGGGATACAGACGTGGAAGGCAAGACTATTGAGGCATCACCGTTGGGGGTGCACGTTTCGGACAGATGGTCTGTGAGTGGGTGCGATTGGACCGACGAGCGCACGCACGTCAGCCTGCGTGTACGGCGATATGACTTGTTTGCACTCTCAAACCAAAAAACACAGGGTGCCTCAGGACCCTTGTCAAGTCGATCCTATACAAAACTACTGGACCGTGAGACTGAGCGGAGCTTCGATGAGGAGGTGGAGGCCCTCAGTGAGAAGAAACGCGCTCGATTCGAGAGTAACATGGAGAAGAAGCAGAAGAGTTTGTAAAGAGCTGTGTCCCCTGCGTGTAATTCTTTAATACACATATTTTCAATTGACTTTGGTGGTCGCTTCTCTTTCTCTGTGTTCGAGTGTGGGTTTTTCCCCCCGTGATTGATGTCAATGTCGTTCAATGTTGTTTCTATTTTTCTTGCATCATTTTACTTTTTTTTTTTATCTCCTACTCTGGAATTTGTGTTTTATGCACCTGTTAAACATTCCCGCCGTTATTGTTGTTATGTGCAAAGAAAAAGACTTCTTGTGTGGCCGCTAGCCCATGAAAAGGGATACATCGCAGCCTGCAGTGAAGTTTCTCCTGCTTTTGCTCCTGGACGGACGATTATGCTGCGTCTCTGTGGCGAATGGGAAGCTGCGTTGGGAGGCGCAACTTCCCGGTGGTCCACTTTTCCACTGTGGACCAAGGTGTCAGGGTAAAAGAGAAAAACGGATGTGGGCACAGCTCCCCTCTCGTTTTGCATGCAGAAACTGTCGGAGCATGGCAATCAGCGCCAGTGGAATGGAGGCCCAACCTGAAGAGACGTTGGGAGACAATGTCAAAGACTGCTCGCTTGTATTCATTCCCTCTGGCGATACAAAACATGCCTTTTCTCTCATGAAGTGGCATTTCTTTATTCCATCTAATTGCTCTGACAGGAAGGACGTTTGGCTGCCGGCTAGGGAAGTCCTTGAGTGCTGGAATGCGTCCGCATGCTCCGGCCATAGGGCGTTGGACTTGCAGCAGCAAGTGACGACGCACACGGAGTTGGATTTCTTCTCGGGGAAGCTGCTGATAAGCCTTACTGCCGAAGCGGAGGACATCGACAACGAGGAGGAGACTGTGCTTAATGAATTTTCATGTGTGCGTGTCGTTCTGCAACGCACCGATCACACGCAAAGTATGATCTTTCCACCCTTTCAGGCCCTTTCACGTTCCACCGTCGACTCGTCCGGGGAGGAGGAAGTCTCTCGCTCTTGGTACGCCACGACTTCGACGGTGATGCTTGACGTAATAGACCTCTCCTTGGATACTGTTTCCTTGAAATCATGGTTTCATGCGGAGAAGCAATCGTTTCATATTGAACAGACCGTAGCAATGAATAGATTCACCTCTTGCCTGTGCATCTCCGGAGAATCTGGGGATGTTGGGAAGGTGCAACTGACAGATCTGAGGTCCCCGATAGTTTCCGCACAAATTATCTTTTGGGAGCCACATACGGTGGCCTCCAATGGTGGTAGCACCTCAAAGCTACGCTGTCAGGATGTCCCTGTAGCCACGTCCTGGGAGCGCATGGAGGCAACTCCTGGTCACAGCTGGAACTTGCAGAGGCGCGGTGGACATGTACAGGAAATATCAGGTTTTTTAGATGACAATGGGCGCGTGTTATTTGCAGATTATATTGCACGGAAGAATGAGTTAGCGTCAGTTTATGCTGAGACACAGGTATCTGAAACACAAGGGGAGGATTATTTGTCTTCACGCTGTTCTGTATCTCCTGGAACCGAGAATGGGCATTTCTTTGGGGATTACGACGACTCAAGCGAAACGGACTCCTCCACGGCAAGTGGTTTTTCGGAGAACGCAATGGTGCTTCACAACAACTCTACATTCTTCCATAAGAGCACTGAAACGGGGGCACTATTTCACACTGGCAATCAAATTTCTTTTTTTGATGAGAACTTTGAGGTTATTACTATGCTTGGTCGTGGGGCCTCCGGCGCCGTGTTACTCACACGGCAACGCCTGACAGGGATCTTCTACGCCATAAAGGTGATGCTCATGCGGGATTACTCTAGCAAAGATAACGTGCTTCGTGAGGTGCGTCTACATGCTATACTCCACAATCGTTACCTTGCGCGCTACTACGCGGGGTGGTCCGAGGCTCTCACCCCGTATCGAGTACAGCAGCTTGAAAGTATTGGCGTATGCAAATCGAGGAGTATTCAAGACAAGTATGTTATTAACGGATCAGGCTGCATTGGTTGGTTGGACCATCAGCAAGGAGGGCCGTTGTCCCTCAATAGCAGTGAGAATAGGTTGCTGCCTCCAGGCACACACGTTATGAATCGTAACCTTATGGCACCACCAGAGGTAATGCATGAGGACTGTAATGGGATGTACCTTGCTGGGGGAGATAGCCTTGACAGCGTTTGTGAATATTGTGAAGGTGAAGATGACAGCGACTCGTCTTTTCATGAAAGAACTTCATCCTTCTCCAGTACACCGGGGAATGTTTTGACTAGGCGTGTGGTGTTTCTTCAAATGGAGTACTGTCAGACAACATTGGCGCACCGTCTAGGCTCTCGAAGTGTCATTGATCGTGTGGAGAACATTATTATTGCGTTGCAGATATTTTCAGCGTTACGTTATGTTCATCGGCGTGACTGTTTGCACCGAGATGTAAAGCCCACAAATGTTTTTCTTGATTACAATTGTCAGACCATAGGCCTGAATGACACGAGCGACGATGACAGCGATGGCAATGCAGTGGAAGAGGAAGAGGAAGAGGATGATGATGCTGCTGCAAACGCAGTCCCACCCAATACTGAGGTTCACAGCGCCAACACCTTTGGTGACGACGATGCAGACACCACGTTGAAGCTGCAGCAGTCAGATCTTTCTCCTGCACTTCCTGTGCAGGTGTTATCTGCTTTTGAGTTGCTGAGGTTGAATGCTTCTGTGGGTTTACTTGCGCTTTATTTGAAACGATTCAAATGTGCTCAGGGAGAGGCAGAGAAAAGGAAAGTAATACGCTTGGTGCGAAAGTGGCTTAAGTGTCGCCTTGTGCAGGTTCGTCTTGGAGATTTTGGCTTGGCAAAACCACTGGGCGATCAGCACGTGGAGGCTGCTCACTACTTTGATCGCAGCGCGATAAACACCGTTGGTGTGGGCTCTCCTCTTTACTCCAGCCCGGAGCAATTGGAGGGAGCCATCTGTACACCGGCCGCAGATGCATTTTCGGCCGGTGTCTTGCTAGCTGAGTTGTATATACAGCCTAAGACCGTCTCAGAGAGGCTTGTCGAGCTGCAACGGGTGCGCGAAGGTGTGTTTCCGTGTTCGTCGCTCTTGCTAGACTATCCAGAGCTGCAGGTGGTGCAGGGGCTAACGAGAAAGAACCCGAGTGCACGTATGACACTTAGAGATGCAACTCGTTTGTTGGTGATAACGTTGGATAAAATGATCTTTACTTTTATTTCGAGCTGAGTTAATTGTAAAAAAAAAAAAAAGTGAGGAAAACCAATGGAGTGGGTACATGGTTGTTTTCACGTCTACGTTAGCGCGGCTTCTCCTAATGTGGGATATACAGTGATGGAGAGAGGGAGTGGCAACGTGACGATATGTGGGTTTGTGCATTTTTTTTTTTTGCATTCCTATTTTTTTTTTTATTATTTTCTGTTGTTGACGCTTTTATTCATTTCTTGGTTGTGTGGGCTCGCTGTTTTCTTGACTTATTTGTCGCTTTATTGTTGTTAATTTTGAATCTTGTTTGCTTTCTTATTCCCTTTGAGTCGAATGTATACATTAATTTCATTGAAAACAGGAATTACGCTGGCAGGCCGTGGGGGAAGTCGCGACGGCGATGCGGCGCTGGGTCTCCCTCGGCGGATGGTGTGGCCCCGGTCTCATGCTTTCCAAGTTAGGAATTCGTCCCGTTGAAGAACAACTACCATTTGACATGGCGCGGTGCAGCTTTGACGGTCTCATGGAATTCACTCAGAAAGGTTTTGATAGCGGCTTCTTTCCGGGCTCTCTGCAGCAGCGGCCCTTTACTCCCGATCCGGCCTCCATATGGCTGCTTTTCCGAGGCCAGCACACCTGTATTACACACTTTGATATTAACTCAGATAAGGTTATACAGGAATTTTTGCGGCGATTTGATAGCTGGGAAAAGATGATTACGTGTCCCACTCGTCCAGTAACATTTTTGCGTACTTGCATAGCTGAAAATTCAAGCGACGAAGTGGAACTGCTGCCCCAATGGCACGCATTACTGCGGGAAAAAAGCGGAGGAAAGCTTGATTTCCGCACTGTGATGGTGGTGCATGATCAAGGACCCACCACAGAGCCGGTGGCATCGTTTTCTGGAAAAGATGCTGCAGGGTTTCCTTGTGTGGTGTGGAACCTTGCTTTTGACAAGCAACTCCCCGTGGAGTCCTCACTGTTCGATAAATGTCACGACGGTTATGCGCAGATTATTCACGAAATGAATACGGAGGCGGCCTGGCGTTTGAGAACTTTGCCACTGCGTCTTGCTGTACCAAAGCCGTATAAGGCTCTCTGTTGTGTGGAAGGTGTTCCAGCGTTTCGTGGCTCATGTACTGGGTTTGGTACGACACATGCTGCGGCCCTGGGACGTTGCCTCTATTGTGGTTCTACAGACGGACATGAGGTGGTTCGTGATGCTTTTGACAGCGGGAAACCCTGGGACGCCGTAGAGGACACGGTGCTGCTCACTAAATGGGTCACACATAACGGAGACGAGGTGGCTGCTGTAGAGGCAACAGCACTGGAGCTGAAACGTGGTGCTAACGAGGTTCTGCTTCGTTTGCGGAAGCTTCTTTGCGACTGATTTCTGTTTTTTATTTATTTGTTGAGATGCTCCTGTTTTTACGTCATTCTTGGTTGTCTTTACCTCCTTGATTTGCATGTTATATATATATATATATATAATATAGTCTCAGTTTGTTAGTTTTGTGTTTGCTTTCCTTTTTACTGTGCCGTAGGTATGGGAGAGGAAGATGTCTGAGGATTTGAAACAGCAAAGACCGTCGCGTGTTTATAGAGCTTTGTGGCTTTTAAAACAGGCGGAATGGCGGTTTGCGTGGGACCGACGCTTCTTTGTGCTATGCGGTCTGCGTTTGGCATACCGTTTGGGTGAGAATGAGGCGGAAAAGAAGTCTGGCTACATCATCTCCCTTCAGCGTACAGTGGGCCCACCGGAGTCGCATACGTTCCGTGTGTGGCTCAAAGAAGGAGAGTGCTGGACACTTCGAGCTGAAACAGATGGGGATCACAGAGAGTGGACGAATAGCATTGCCGCAGCTTTGATGCAAGGCTCGGCGGAAGAGCTTTGTAATGTGCGTGAAGGCATTGTTCTAAAAAAGGGGGCTTGGACAGGCCAATGGAAGCCACGGTATCTGGAGTTGGACGAATACCGTCTGGCTTACAGACTCAACAAAGAGAGTGAGGTGCGAAATCGCTTTGTTCTTGTGGCAGCTGATGCTTCCGGTGAGGAGGGAAGAGAAACGGAGCTGCTTGTGACGACAAGTTGTGGAGAACGATTTTGGTTGAAGTTTTCTACTAAAGAGGAATTTAATGACTGGAGAAATATGATCATGCGGGGACTGCAACGAACCATGTCGTGGCATTGGATGGCGCTTGGCTCCTCACGCACTTCCGAGTACGCCCCACTCCGCGTACAGTACCATGCGAGCGCTGCTGGAAGTGGACCAACTGTGTATTGTTATGGTGGTACGTACAGCTTAGCACCGCGTTGCTTTTTGGGGGCACCAAAGGTATTCTTGCCAAATGTGTGCCGCGAGAATGTTTCGAGGCAACTCTCCTGTATAAAGCTTTCCGGGGAACACAAATGCACACCTCTAGAAATTATTCCCTATGAGGAGAGCGCGCACGCCAAAGTACGACCGCCGCCCTTATTTGGCGCGGCTTTATGTATGCTGAAATCAACGTGTAGATCATCGTCGTCGTCGCTGCCCAACTTAAGCACGTCCACTCCACCGTTGGAGTGCTTGTTGCTTGTGGGTGGCCGCAGCGAGACGTCTATTTTTCGTGACGTCACAGTTGAGATGTGGTGGTGCGTGCTGCAGGGCTCGTCATCCATGTGGCAGCGGTGCTGTTATGATGTAAATGTGCTTCCACACCGTACTTTTCATACCTTGACCACAAGAACCTCGAGGTCGGCGGTAGTTGCCGGTGGATTAGACGAAATGAATCGTGTTTGCGCGGATTGTTTTATTATTTTCTGGTCTGAAAATGAGACAGAGGCCTTCGTTACTCCTCCGGTTGTGAAGTTTTTGGGTGACCTTCCAGAGCCTCGTGCGTTTCACGTTTGTTTGGCGCTGCCTGATGCTTCGCTTTTTGTGTTTGGTGGCTGTAGTGTGCGCGGGCCTGCGTCATGTAGCTACTTTCTTTCGCTGTCGTGTACGGAGTCGGAGTGGCGAAAGGTGTCCATAGACCCGCCCTTGCCTGTACTAAATAATGTGTGTGCGGCGGAGGCTGTTTCTGCTAGTGGGCAACAAAGGGTCCTTATTATGGGGGAGACGCGCACCTCGTACCCCACTCTCAGGCTGTTTCTGCTGACGCTGCAGCCCACGTCTGCCGTTTCAGCAGAACTATTACTTACTATTGGCGCTGCCCCGCGGCGCTGCTGTGGAGCGACGATGCACCGTGCAGAGGGCTACCTTTACGTCTTTGGAGGCTGCTATGATGGCAGCCAGCGCAATGATCAGGGTCAGACGGTGGTGTTTCAAGACCCCATCCGTATGCTCATTGGCGACAGCGCGGGAAGTAGAACTGCCACCACTCACCGCGAATGAGGACGGAATGAAGAAGTGGATTTGATGGAGTAGTTTTAGCTCTAACGCTCAAAACATATATATATATATATATATATTCATATAAGTGCGTTTGTATTTGTGTCTTTGATGGAGCTATTGTTGTTGTTTTATTCTTCATATTATTATTAAAATCGGTGTGTGTTTTCCTTTGTGGCTGGAACTAGAGAAGCGAGGGCGGGGAGAGTGAAACACTGCCTGGTTGTGCTGTTTCCTGTGCCGCTGTATTTGTCGTACATGTGGTTAGACCTACGTGACTGCGGGTGCTGAAAAGAGGGGGTGTGGTAGTGGGAGACAGCGAAAAACTGTGGAAATAAACTGCAACATCACCACACTCATTGCAGGCCTTTAGGCTTCTGCTTTTATTGTTAGTTTCTATGTCTAACATCGTTCGTTTGTTTACTTGATGTCCAGTTGTATACCACAGCAGCAAGAAGCCAAGTCTTTTTTTTTTCTCTCACGCGGCCTCACACATTGATTGATCCCTTCAAAGATACATATGGCCCTCGACGCGGTGTCTGCTCCCACAGTGAAGGAAATAGACTGTGTCAAATTCCTGAAACAGGAGCTCCCCTCCTCATTGCTGGACCCCGAAGATGCAGGATTTTTAACAGAGGCAACGTACCTGCGCTTTGCCCGGGCCCGCAACGCCGACAAAAAAAAGGCCTCAACCATGCTTCGGAGCTGCTTGGAGTGGCGGAAGGAGTTTAGGCCATACAAGGTGAGTTTCGATGAGGTGGAGAGGGCGATGCAGCAGCTCACTACCACTGTCGCTGGATGCAGCCTCAAGGGGGAGCCAGTTGTCGTTATGTCCATTGGAGCCCCAAATCCCTGCGAGGTGGAGGAGCGTGTCAAACAAATTGTGTACATCTTGGAGGAGGCCATGCGACGAGGCGATGAACGTCTTACGTGGATCATTGACTTTGCACAGATGGGCAAACATCCCCGCGATCCGCGGAGCTCGGGGGCGCGGAAGGCCACGATGAAGATCATGCAGGACTACTACCCTGAGATGTTGGGCACCCTATTGGTCTATCGCTCACCGTGGTATATACGTTTTCTCTACACTGCGGTGAGGCCCTTCATGGATGCGCGTACCCGAAAGAAAGTGCTCTTTTTGGGTCACGAGGAAAAGTTGCTGCTGCTGCATGTTGCCAAAGATCAACTCCCCACGAGCCTTGGCGGAACATACAGCAATAAAGATCATAAAACATTGTGGGAGTAATCGATGAATATGAATGGTGGAGAAAATGTGAAAAGAGAAAACGGAATAATTGAACTATACCTCGATGTTTACATTAAGTGGTGTAGCAACCCATTCCCCAGCGTGGGTAGTGGTAAATGGTGTTGTTGTTTTCATTTTGGCTGGGTCGAGCTTTCACTGTTGTTGTTGTTGTTTTTTTTTTTCGTTATTGTGTTTGTGTGGGTTTCTTTTTTCGCCGTTTTATTGATTTGTTTTTTAACATGAGGTTTTTTCTGAATATTTTTCTGCGTCTGTGCAGAGGAAAAGGCATGTACAGATAGAGAGAGCGATTAATGGACAGGCGCGTATAATGTGGAGGTTACCAGACGATTCATGTGTTGTAGTGATATTTATGTGGCAGATTTTTCTTTTTTTCCTTTTCGTTGTTGTTTAATAATAGTAATATATGTATGTTTGTGATATTTTGATAATTAATTTATTTTTGTTTGCTTGCTTTACTGAGTGTGTGCGTGTGTTGCGTCTGTGTTTGCAAGACCGTTGACGCTGCTGCTTCGTCTGCCACACGTTTATTATTATTTTGATACTTTCGACACTCGTTGCCTTTTAGCTTCTCTGGGCGTACACACAAACGCGTGTACGCCTGTACACCGACGAAGCCTGCCTCATCGGCGTTGTCTTTGGTTGTGCTGCGGGACGTCCAGGATGGGGCCGAAGAAAGGAACGAAAAAAACAGAGGAAGCGGAATTTATTGCGGATGGCCCTCTCGCTGTTGAGAGCACCAGGGCCTTAACGAAGTGGACGGATCGGGTGTCCGCGGTTAGCAAGAAGATCCAGCAGGTGCAGCACATTATGGCTCTGCTTTCATCGCAGATGGAGCTGTGCAACAAGGAGCTCGCGGACGTCTACGAGAATGCGAATCTCCTCACAACGCTTCGCATTGCGGAGTACCGACAGAAGTTGAACCCGCACCTACCGGGGCCGCCAGCAAAGAAGCAGCGCTTGAAGCGTGAGAGCTCAGTGAAGATGGCTTCCACTCCGTCGCTGGCCGAGAAGAGCACAGAGGCTCTGTTGGGAGCCATGGACGAGAGGAAACGCCTCAGGGTTAGCAGCGTTCTTGTGAGCCTCTTCAAGCGCAACTCCCCGGAGAGCCCTGTTTCGAATTCTCCAACGAATGTAGCGCTATCACCGGGAGGTGGTGGTTCAACAAATTTTGTGGAGGCAGCTGTGCGTCAACAGGTAAACACGGCAAGTTCTCCCCCGACCGATGCGGCTAGTGCTTCAGCGAGCTTGGATCAGCGACGCCCGAAGGACGTGCCGCCTGAGCTGTGGGAAGAGGTCTCTAAGCTTCGATGTAAACGGCTGGCCTTGGAAGGACGTGGTAAAACGTTAATGGGCAGCATAGAAGTACAGCTTGCGAGATTTGACTTGCTCATGCAGAACCATGGCGTGGCCACATATGCAACAGATTACTTGGAGCAGACGCTTCAAAAATTACGGCTAGGAAAAAGTGGTCCCTGAGCACCAGGTTGCAAGATAAACAGAATGTGACCATTCCCTGCCGTGAGAATGTGGCTGTTCATGCAATTTTGTGAAATGTACATAAATATCCGCGAATACACGCGAACTCAACCATTAGTAGTATATATATATACCTGGAGAGAGAAAGAGAGTATTATGTGTATTTTGTGTTTGTGATTTTTTCTGTTTGCGCTCCTTCTTTCTCCTTCTGGTGGGGGAATCTATGTGGAGTCCATTTCTTGCACTGTTTCAGAGCTGCACTAAATGGGTGGAGGATTATCAAGGCAGGAAGAGCTGTTTGTGCTTGGCAAATGGGCTGAGCTCCTAGAAAGCGCCATGGACGCCGATACTGAACGGTCCACTGAAGAAGCTAACCGTGGTGGGCATTCATCGTCACAGTTCCGTATGTCGTTTCATGAATGGCAGGCTCTCATCTCACTGCTCGATAGCGCGCAGTCCTCTGAGGTGCCATCACGTCTTTGTGCGAGCATCCGTGGCATGCAACTTTTGAATCCAAGCGTTGCCGTCATGATACATGTCTGTTGCTGGGTGGATGGGAGCGTCAGTGAGAAGAGCTTCGTCGAGCGCCTTAGACTTCTTCAAGATGACCTGCGGTCTCAGGAGAGCACGCCAAGGCGAGGGGGACAATCAAAGGATGAGGAAGCCGAACGAGAATTAGTGAACACCGCACTTCGTGTCCTCACGGACCTTGTGGCACATCGAGGAGAACCATTAGCTCAGAAGCGCGGAAGTCGAGTGGGAAATGCGGCGGTTGACAACCTCATCGCGTGGGGTGGCTCCAAGAGACCTGTTGCTATGCTTGCACACGCCTTCATCGTTGGAGCTGTTGCCTGCATTCACCCGGAGCCGTACTACGCCGAGGCCGCCATCTACACCTTTCGCAAGTTGCAAGACGTGATGAATGAGGCAGTTGCCGCCGCCACACGTGGGAGGCGAGGTGGAAAGACAGCCGCATGTAACGTTGCAGAGTGGCAGGCTATGCGACGGCTGGAAACTATTCTTGTGCGCCGTCAACAAGAAGTCGATGTTGCCGATCTTCTTACGACAAAAGATCGCTGGTGGCTTCCTTCAAAAGTGACGACAGCGCATGCACCGTCGACAAAAAGCCAAGAGGAACGTTGGGAAGAGGTGTGTTTGCACTACATTGGCCAGCAGCATATATGGGCAACTCTGAAGACGCACTTCTTGACCTCGGATATTTTCAACGCTGAAAAACCGACGGTGATTCTCCTCTTTGGTCCATCAGGGTTTGGTAAATCGGAGTTGGCGCGACGCCTCGCGTGCGTGATTCACGGCATTGAGCCCGGTGATGTGGAGACCAGTGGCAAGCTGATTTATATACATCTTCCATCCTTCTGCACACGTGACTCCATATATTCGCTTGTTGACCCACCAGCCGCACACGTTGGGGAAGGTGTTCTACTCTCGGCGCTTCGCAAGAATGATGATGCGGTTGTGGTTCTTGATGAGTTTGAAAAGGGCGCTGCAAACGCTATTCAAAACCTATGGCTTTCAGCCTTTCAAAAGAAGGGCACACTTCGCTCATTAAAGGAGGCATCACGGTCAGTATCAACAGAAAAAGTGGTCTTTGTTCTCACGTGTAACACTGCCGCCGATACCATCTTGCGTCGCGAGGAAGAATACTTGCAAGCCAGTGCAGGGGAGCAGGCAAAAATGCGAAAAGAGTGGATTGACATGTGTCGAGATGTGTGTCGAAGGACCATGCATGATCCTTTTGTCAATCGTGTTGATTACTTTTTCCCTGTTGTCCCATACACGGAGGCGGAGAAGCGGCAGTTTATTCATCTCCAGCTTCGCCGAATGTTGCTAGAGCAACGTGCGAGGCACCATCGTTTTTATGTTACACCCCGCATGGTAAAAGCCCTTGCGAGGAAACTGCAGACATTTCATGCTTCAACCATAGAGGGTGTGGTGCGTCCGTTGCTTGTGGAGGCGATACATAAGAAGTGGAATATTGCCGTTTTAACCGTGGTGGAGCACATCAGCGGCAGCGTGTTTGTTGCACTTCCGGTAACGGACACGTCTGATGGTGTTGCAATGTGGAACTCCCTTCCTGGGGCCAAGTGTGCGTTGGAGATGTGTGAGGAGCCAGCGGGTGTGACAGCAAGTGAAGGTTTAGTAGAGAAAAGTTTGACCAATGTAGTGTCAGGCAAAAAGATTGGTGGTGGTGCCATGAGCATTAACACTGTATCCCGACATAAAAGTGTGGATGCAGCTCCTCAACTTACGTCTGAGGCAATCAGCTTAGGCCTGGATACAAGCGTGGGGGCAGAGAAGAAGTACACTCTACAGTTGGAGACCACCGTTGAGAAGGAGCTGCAAGTGGAATTGAAACGCACAAAGGAGCTCCTGGTTCTGAAGGAAAAAGAAATTGTATACTTAAAGGAAAAGGTTTTCCAGCTTGAGAAAATATTAGCCTTTTTTCTGGCTACCACGCTTATGTGTCTACTGCTTCTCTCTTTTCTTGTGGGTATGAAAACTGTTCTTGTGATTAGTCTTCTGCTTTTTGTGTCTCTTTGGCTACTCGTGAAAATGCCACTCCAGCTATTGATGGGAGCGATTCGGGTTTTGTACGGTGTTCTCGGTCCCGTCGGTTCCACCCTCGCGGTGTTGGTGGCGTCACTGTGGGCATCACAGGCATTGCGGAACGCCGCAGTGTGCTGAGAGAATTCTGTTCAAGATGTAAAAGGAGCAAAAAGGAAAAGAGTGGAAAAAAAAAGTTTTTCATTAGTTTATTAGCGTGAGAGTAAGAGTGAGGGCTATGCTTGCCATTGTTTTTGTTTGTGTTGTCTCCATCTCTTTATTTGGGCTAGTGGATGTAGTGTAGGGCAAGAGGAAGTGATGGGTTGCTTCTCATGTTCTCTTCGGATAAGGATTGGGTGCTATTTCCTTCTTTGTTTGTTTGTCTTTTGGTTTTGCTGATGTCAAAGAAGTACGAGGAGGGGCATAACGCTCCCAATGACGCACGAGTCTGCACCTGCCGCGTCCGCTCTCTTGACGGTCGCCTCGGCGCTTTTCAAGGAGGGTTGAGTGAGCTGTCAGCATGCAGCAGCAGATATGGCGGCCGTGAACCAACTTTGATCCTGTTTTATTATTATTATTATTTTGGACGAGGAATCGACGGAGAATGGCCAGGGGTTGTCATTGCGCAGCTTTGGGAGTTGACAGCATTTGTTTCCATGACCGCGACACTCTCTTTCTTGTCCGTTGCGAGGAAGACTGTTCCCAAGTGGGGGCCCAGTTGTCATTCATCTGCGTCACTCTGGCAGAGGAGCGGCTGGAGTGCGATAAACTGCGCGCACAAGAGCGCCTTTCCCGCATGGAGGTGGGCCACATGCTTCGACTCACGTTGAATGAATGTCAATAGAAAGGTGTTTTTTTTTTCATTCCTTTTGACGGCGAGGCATTATTTTTTGTCATGCGCTCAGCTGCAGTTCCAACAGCACCTGCGCCAGTAAAAACAGCAACTGCAGCGTCAACGATGCCATCACTTTTGACGATGGATTCAGTGATTGCGGCGTTGGAGGATCGGATACGTCAACAGGAGCAAGGTGTATTGCGGAATGACAAGAGCATATGTTCCCAGGGGAAGCGGTATTTGGCTCTGCAGACGTTAGGAGAGGATCTGCAAGATGCGCGGAAGGTGCCGCGGCAAGAGATGGAGCCTCTTAACACCGCACACATGTATCCTTTGGAGGCGAAGGATGAAGAGTCGTGCCTCACTTTGGAGTATGAGATAATGAAGTGGGGTAAAAAAAAAAAAAAAGTTTGAAGATAATCTGCTTGAAGAAATCGCTAAACAGAGTGCTGTGCTCACTCAGCGCGCGGCAAAGGTGCGACGGATGCACCATGCCCTGCAGTGCGTAATTGCTGGGACGGTCCAAGAGCCGGAGATGACGGGCCATGACGCCGACATTGGCAAATAGGGCGACAATGGAAGCGAAGGAAGGAAGCAATTTGGAAACTTTGCAAGACTATGTTCAACAACTACGGACTTTGCAAGAGGTGTTGTTTACTTTAAATAATTGTGTGGTTAGCCTCGATGAGGTGGAAGAGATGAAACCCGTTGTGAAGCGGTTAAAGAGTCACTCGCAGTCATCACCGAGGTTTACTGGCACACTTTTAGAGGCTCCTAACTAGGGTGGTTGTCTCCTTCGGGGGGTTTACATGGATGTGGTGCGTGAGCATTCCCCGTAGAAGGCGCGTGAAGAACTGAGTGCCATTGCAGCGACCAAGATGCTAGAGAAGTTTTGATGCCTCTGTATTGTAAACAACATCTTCTTCTCTCATCCTGAGGCACTTGTGGGAGCAATCATGGGTTCAAGTACATCGTGGCGGGAGGTGCATCGTATGTTGTTTTCCACGCAGATGGCCTTGGCACTCTTGCGCAAGAGTCAGTAATACGAAAATGTCATTCCACTCTTTCTATTTCTCTTTCTCTCTCTTACTTTGGTTCTCTTCTTCCCTCACTTCTAATGGGCCTACGTATGTGGATATGTGTATCTGGGATAATATTTCTTGAATGTGTCCTTGGATGTCCCCTTTGCTACATGCGTGTGTGTATGTGTGTCGTAATTTTGACAACTACCTGCCGCCTTTGCCGATGGTGGTGTTGGTGGCTGCGACCTGAAAGAGTGATTTTTTTTTGTGTGTATTCCTTTCTTTCTCTTGCTCTGTGTGTGGTGGACAAAAATGCGTGTGAACTTACCAACGGCACAATTAAACAAAATAAATACGGCATCAGCACCAAAAAAGAAGGAAAAAAAAAGAGCTAGGCGGTGAAGGGTGGACTTAGTCAAGGAAAAGAGGACTGGAGGGAAGCCGAGAGGGCAAGATGGATAGTGAGAGCCCTGCTTCGGAAGGCATGGAACCCGAATACAAAGTCGTCGTCCTAGGAGATGGTGCGGTTGGCAAGACGTCACTCATTAGGCGATACTGCGAACAGGGCTTTGACCAAAGCTACAAGCAAACCATAGGCCTTGACTTTTACTCGAAGAAGGTGGAGATACCCGGAGGGCGGTCCGTCGGACTGCAGATTTGGGATATTGGTGGACAGCAGATTGGGGGAAGTATGCTTGCAAACTACTTGCATGGCGCCGATGCCGTCTGTTTTGTGTACGACGTGACGAATCCCGTCTCCTTCAAGAATGTTGAGGAATGGCACCAGTGCGTCCTTGCATTAATGTTAAAAGAAAAGGAGCTAAAGCCGATGATGGTGCTTGCTGGAAACAAGACGGACTTGCCAAACCGACAAATCTCGGCGGAGACGCATGGACGGGCAGCAGATGCGTACAATATGCATCCTCTTCTCATCTCTGCACGCTCGGGGGATAGGATCAATTCTCTTTTCATGATGCTTGCTGCCATGCTTGCTGGCGTTAGCCTATCACCACAGGAACTTGACATAGCAAATCGTATGGTTGTCAGCATAGACTCGCAGCCGGAGGAGCAGTCACCAGCCTTGTGTGCCTATGAAACGGTTGTAATGAAGAAAAAGGACGCTGATAAATGCGTCTTAATGTAGAAGCACGAGCAAGAAACAATAGCAAAAAAAAAAAAAGTTGGCAAATGTGTTCCATCTATAGTGCCTCTTGGCGTGTGCTTTGTTTTCCTCTTTTTTCCCCCCTTCAATCCGCCGTTGTTGTTGTTTTTTTGACTGAAATGTTTTTCATCTTGTTTTTTGATGTTTGAAATATTTTGGATTGTCGTCGAATTTGGAACAATTTCTTTTTTCTTTTTTATAATGTGCTTTCGCTTTTATGCTTCTGCTGCTTGGGGCTGACATTCGAGTGCGGCAGCCTGAGTGAAGCTAGCACGACGTACCATTACACACTGGCGGAATATATAAAAATATATATAATCATCGCTGAGGGTCACGCAAGAGTGAAGGCTACACGCGTTCTTTCACCGGATGGCGTCCCCGGCCGTGAATATGCCAATGGAGAAGACACCGTTGGCGGTATCTCGGTGCACGAATGAAGCCTGCGCAGGCGTAACACTCTCCCTGGAGCGGCGCAACAATGCCTTGTAGTCTGGTTTCATTTTTTGTCTGTGTTGGATGAAAACGAAGAGGTTTTCTGATGCGCCGTAGATGCGGGCTCACGGAAACATCCACAAGAAAGCAGGATGCCGGAGTTATAAGCACACTGCATCGAGGCACCTCGTTTTTTGAGGTGCCTAGACAAATATGCTACACTGGATAAAACCTAAGTTGGAGGGAATCTTTCGTTTTGAATAATGCAAAATTGGCCGTGATTCTCTGGGTGTGTTGTGCTTGTCATCGAGACCTGGAACTATCCGCTTCGGTTTGTATTGTTGCCGCTTATTGGGGTCCTTCTTGCTGGTGACATGGTGGTGCTCAAGCTGAGTGAGTTGGCACCCGCCACGGCAGCTATTATGCATGAGCTTCTTCCCAAATACATTTAGGATGGCATTGTGGGTGTCGTTAACGTTGGGGTGTTGGAAACGACGTGGCTGCTGGAGGAGTGTTTCGGCCATGTCTTCTTTGGTGAGAATTTGTGCGTTGTGGGGATTATTGGGAGTGTGGCGGCAATCCACCTTGCACCCATCACGTTTGAAGTTGGAGGAAGTCACCTGCTACGGTGGGATTCCCTTGTAATCCGAAGTTAAAGGTGGCTGTCCACCGTACCATGTGGGGTAAAGTGGAGAATGCGGAACAGACTCGCGTTGCAACGAACGGGGCAGTATTGTGCATCGTCAGAATCAAGTTAAGCTGATTGAATCACCAAAAGAGGCGCGGGAGGAAACGCTGAGGAAGTGTGAACCGCTTGATAAGCAGGAAGAGTGGCCGTGCATTGTGAATGCGCATCATTTTCAATGCCTCGTGGGACTTTTAAAAGGTGACATTCTTGCCTTTGAGGGTGAAATGAACCTGAAGAATGTAACGAGGTGGCCCCGGTGGATCTAAAGGATCTTCAGGTGGAAAATTCGATCCTAACCAAATAAATTAGTTTGGTCATAAATACCTGCAACACCTTTTTTTCTACTGCTTAACGTCTTGAACGCAAAAGCACTTTTGGCTGATGCCGTTTTTTTGTGAGTGTTTTGCTTGACTGGGGCAAGGTGCTCGTGTGTGCGAAAGCGCCACGAGCGAACAGGTGATACTCGTTGATTACTCCTATGGATAGCTTTACCCTCTGTTTTTTTTTCTCTTTGGCTCTACTTTGCGCATGTGTGCGTGCGCGCGGGTGCGGTTTTGCTAATTATCTGTTGTACAGTGAACTCTATGTTGTTTTGGTTGTGACCTAGCACTATTTGGTATTTTACATGTTTGCTTCTATGGGTCATTCTTTTGACTGCCACGGACTTGTTTCTTGTTTGCTATCACACTGGACTACGCCTCCCCACATCTCTCTGTCGGGCGAGTGGGTTCTGTGCTCTCTGTTGGCCGCTGTTTTTTTTTTTTTTTTTAGTTTTTTTGGA